GGGTTCCATAAATACTAGATATCCTTTTCCATACCACTTCCAGATTCATGCTTAGTTTTATATATCCCACCTTTCCTTGGAGAATTCAGTAAGATTACCTAACCTTGATCACAATTCCCAACTTCTTCTAGCCAGGATTCCCTTATAATCTGAACCCAGGTTATCTCCTGGCAGCTGCTAAAAAGGGTCAAGCCAACTGTCACTCTTCTATAGCAACATCTCCTTTCTCCTCTGGACTTCTCAAGAATTTCACCTCTTCCCAAGTGGAGAGGCAGGGAAAGCCTGGCCTCCCCATCCTTTTTCCTTTGCGACATGTGGGTGAAGCACTGAAGCCTCTCTATCAACCTGTCACATCAACTGAAGCTCTACAGATGCCTTTGAAGGTAAATCATATTAAAAGGATTTTCATCATTTAAAAATCTGAGCCAAACGAAAATTTTGCAGGCCTAAATTATGTATTTAGGAACAAAAAGAAAATATAGTGACTTGGAAAAAACAGGTGTGAAAAGGATTAAGGCATCTTAAAATAATCAGATGCTGAACATGAGCTAAAAAGGCTATCAGTGTATTAGCACAAGAATGCTGCTTTCAGATCTGGGCACCATATTTTAAGAAGAATTTTGAGAAATTAGTCAGAGGGCTTAAAATCAAGAGCTGAAGGAGATGGGAGTATGTGGCTGAAATGGAGATTAAGAGAAGTCTTCAAAAAAGCAGAAAGGCTGTCATGTCAAAGATGAAGAGAGAAAACTTTTCTATTGCTCTGGAGTCCTGGATGAGAAGCAAGGGGTGGAGACTGCAGAGAAGCAGACGTTGGCTAAACAGCAGGAAACATCTCTAGTAAGGAGAAAGGACTTGGGCAGAGGCGAGAGAGCTGGGACCCCGGAGCAACAACCAGGACAGTGAGGCAAGCAAACAGCCAGCCAGAAGCTCTTCTGCCCCATTCTCAGCCCCATGGTTCCTTGAAAGGCTGTCGCATTGTGAACTTTGATCATACAGCACCCAAGGCTGGGAGAAGAGCTAATGGGTAGAAATTTATCGGGGAGATCCAAACTGGAAATACATGAATATTTCCTAACTACAGAAGCTACTGAGCAGCGGCCCCACCTGCCCCCGGGATCATGGGAACCTTAAAGCATTTTGGGGGGGGGGGTGTTCAGGATTCCTGCCCTTAGCAGGAAGTTGGACTAGAAGGACTCCAAACTTAGGATGCTATCAGTCAAGAACTGCCACCAGAATATAGTAAGAATAGAAACATTTGTAAACTGATCAACTGGACACTTGAAAGCCAAGGACCAGCCCCAGATGTCTGGGCCAAGGAAGCACCATCCGCAAAGCCCCAAAGGCCCAGGTCGACCAGGTTTCCAGGGAAAGCTCATGAGGTCCTTGCCTCCCCAGGAGCTGCTATTAGTTACACATCCTGAGCCAATGGCTGAGCTGGAAGGGCCCCCATGGCCTTGCGTGTGCGCCAAAAGTGCTGGTCCACTCATTGACCAGAACGCCTAAACATCAGCCTGGCTCCTTCTGTGGAGCTGGAGCTGGACGGCCTACCACATGGGAGTGGGAAGGGAGGATGAACAATTAGCACAGATGCTGACCCTGCCCTGAGAGACAGCAGCAGCTGAACAGGATGGACCACAGCGGAGGGCAATCAGGCAGACCCCAACCCTCTTCAGAGGGGAGGGGGAACAGTCCTTCACCATTATTAACAGGAATCCCAAAACAAATCCCTAGAAGAGGAAGCATTCTCAAACCAAACACTCCAGAGGGAAGCTTGTTAGCCTTGAAGCACAATAGTCAGTAAAGACGAATACACTGGTTGTAGTAATCCGCAAAAACCAATGAAATAAACCAGCTGAATTTTGAAATGCCATAAGATTTTATCATAAAGTCCTCATAAATGTTTTCCCTAAAACTGGGAGGGAAGTTAATAACCCTTCCCCAAACTGAATGTGGCTCTGAGTGTTCAGTTGTTCATCTGATCTACATAAATTAAGATATGCAAATTAGTAGGGGTTTCATACTGTGGATTTTTAAAGTGGTAAGCCACCAGGAGTCACCATGTGCAAGTGGGGTAGTCATAGAAATTTGTTTAATAAACAAACAAACTTGCTTTACTTGCCCTGTATAACGTCTTCTGCCTTGTCCCCCCCACCCTGTCATAATCCATTTAAGACTTCGGTACAAGAGCAAACCAGCCCCCAAAGTGAGCTGTGTTCAGAACTCCAGATTCATCCTAAATTGCTTCAGATTGTTCTCATCTCTTGCTTAGCAGACTCCCTGCTACAAGTCCAGACTGGAGCTAGGAAGATAATAAACCACATACGGTTGTTGGCAGAACCACCAAAGACTGTGGACTTAAATTTGCATCACCCGCTCAGCTTATGGGATCCGGCCCATTTGGTCCCTTTCAAGCGTCATCTAAACTCAGTATCAGTTCAGTCATCAAGTAAGGCATGTGGGGGGGAGGGGGGCTACACAGCCAGACCATGGTTACTCCCCCCCCAGCAAAAGAAGAGCAGGCAAAGCAGCTCAAGGGAACTTCCGGTGAATTCCCTGGCAGAGTCCAACTGCTGGGAATCGTGGGAGGGTCTCAGCACAACGGAACAGTTATGAGGCCTTCCCTGCATTTTCCATGGGTAGATTCCTGGCCAGGTTTTATTTTACTTAGAATCTATCAACAGAAACACCATCAAAATATTGATAAATAAAGCAGATTTTACATCTTAAAAATGTTATTTTAAAAGACACTTCAGTGAGAATCCTGGGACTGGAGAAAAACTTCCACGCTGAAAAGCAGCTCAGGGCCATCTTTGTTCCTTTTCTCCCTCTTCTTCATGTTTTTTTTTTTTTGGGGGCGGGGGGGATTGTAACTTGGCCACCTGCAGCCACATTGGAAGACAACACTTTTTGAGAAAGGGACCTTCATTTGGAGACCAGGTGAGGCTCCTAAGAAGATGCAGAGAAACCCTCAGAAGCAGTGGTGGAATTCCAAAACTTTTACCACTGGATTGGTGGGCGTGGCTTGGTGGGTGCACTTTGTGCGCGTGCACATACTTTGCGTGTACACGTGCACCAAACACAAACTTTGCACAGGCAGAGGCGTTCTAACTCACCTCCTGCAAGCCTGCCCTCTCCTGGTCGCTTTAGGAGCTGCCCTGCGTAGCAGCTGCACTTGAAAAGCAGGGAATCAAGGTCAGTATGGGAGCCTGGGCAGGCGGGTGGGTGCAACAGCAGAGGGGCGGAGAGAACTGGTCCTGTCTCTGCTGCTCTGCAGAACTGGGCTGAACCAGTACCACCACTGCTCAGAAGTGAACTGGAGCAGCCTTAGAGACCCCAGACGGCACTTGTAATCATTCAGCCTGGGCCAAAATTGACCCAGAGTAGCCATTCTGGAGAGGCTGTGGCGAGGCTCTCCAATTACAGCCCATGTTGGACAGCAGAACCTGGCTCCAGCTCCCTGGGCCCCTTTTTTGGCCTGATCTGGGCAGTTTTGAGTAATCCAGGGTAGGAAATACATTGCACCCAGCAGTTCCTCCCGTCTTGTGGGAGGAAATATATAGGTATATTGACCCAGACATTACACTGATTACTCATGTAAGTTAAGGAAAAATGTATAAATAAAATTTACCTACATGAAAGGGAAAGCCTAGGCCAGAATTTCTGAACCGCCCTCTCACTCAGAGTTATCCCAGGATGGCCCTGGGCATCCAGCAGAGAACAGCTGGCCAACCTGGGAGGGGCAGCTCTCCGCTCCCGTGGCAGCAAGAGAACTGAGCCCTTATTTATTTATTTATTTATTTATTTATTTGATTTGCCAATTGTTTACAAGATAATAAGTATAAATGTATACATAGTTGTGAATACATGAAATGGTTACATATAAGAAAAATAAAAGAATAAGAGAAACAATAGGACAGGGACGGTAGGCACGTTGGTGCGCTTATGCACGCCCCCTTCCCAAGGACCAGCCACCCTGCTTTGCCTGCTGGAGGCCCTCGGGAAGAGACATCCACCACTGACCGCTTTGGGTCCTTGCCTTCCTGCCCTCCTGGACGGATGATCCCCACTGCCGGCCCTTTGCGTTCCTCCTCGAGGGGCCCAGAACTCATCAACTGCGCTGGCTGCCAAGGGGCAACAACTCGGCCAGTAACTGCCCGCTATTGGGGCCTCTCAAGGGAGGCAGTTTGGGGCAGAGAAGAGACGCGCAGGCGGGAAAGGAGGCAAGAAGGCCCAGCGCCGAGCCGGAGCAGCAGCCCGCGAGGGCCCCCAGCGCGCTCTCTGCACCGGGCAGCGCGCCAGCAGGCCGCAGCCCCAAAGCCAAGGCGGCGGAGGTCGCGGGAGTCCCCGGCGGAGCCCCTCGCCCTCGCAGGAACAGGGAAGGCAGCGCAGCCTCCCTCGGCCTGCCCAGGGCGCAGATGCCCGAGGCGGTCCGCACAGGCAGCTGCCCTGCGGCGAAGGCGACACTGTAGCGCTGCCCCACCAGCAAAGGGCCCGGCGGGCGAGCGTGGGGAAGCCCCCCCCCCCCAGAGGCAGCGGGCCCCTCCCAGCCCCCGGCGCCGCCCCAACATCCCCGCTCCCGGCCGCACCTGTGCAGGGCGGGGGGCTCCGGCGAGGCGAACCCCCGGGCCAAGGCGGCGGCGGCGGCGGGAGGGCACTTCCGCTTGAGAGCCGTCCCGAGGCCGGGCGCAGCGTCTGCGGCTCCTTCAGGCAAGCGGCAGCCCCCCCCCCCGCCCGGGTACGAGGGGCTCCGGAGCGCCCCCGGCTCGAGAAGGCGCTGCCCGCGGCGGCCAGGGCTCTCTGCCCCGCCCAGCACCGGGAAACGGGACCGGCGCCTCCCCGCAAGCTGCGAGCCGGGCCGCCCCGAAGCCCTGGCGGTGTCGGCCAGAGGGGCGTCGGCCGGGCGGGGGCGCCCAAGACCCGCAGAGGCCGGCGCCCCGCCGCCCGCCAGGCTCCCCTCAAGCTGGCCCTCCCCAGAGGCGCCCTCGCTGCGCGCCGCTCACCTTCATGTCGTTGACGATGGCCTGGAAGAGGCCGCCCAGCGCCCCGC